CAGGATTGTAAGCACCTGTTTTGACCTTAGTGAGCGAAGTAGAATATTTTGCTGCAGCCGTGCTTCTCTCTGGTTTTCTTATTGGGTTTGTGGATTTATTAAAAAAAAAAAAAATCTAGAACAATAATATTCCATTTGATGTGAGAAGTGAAGTGAGGGAAATACTTTGACACCTTCGTCTTTTCTGGTCAGCATAATTGTTCTCCACGACAGGGAATAAAATCAACAGTGTGTAATATGGAGGTAAAAACAGGAGACGATCCATTGATGTTACTCGTTTTTGGAATTCACAGATGATAGCCCTTGTCTCTTCCAGCCTTCAGGATATCTAATAGCACTTTCTTAGAGGTTGTGTTTAGCAAGGCTAGGCTAAAATGGGTTTGGGTAGCTTGTGGTTGAGGGTATTCTCAAACCCCAACCATTTTCTTTTTAGCAGGCTGTGTGAACCACACAAGCCTGTTATAAACACAATATCCTTGATTTACTGGGCTACAACAGTTACGTGAATGTGGCAATTGTGTTTTAGTATTTGGTGTGGTGTATGAACCAAGCTGGTGTTCACCAGGTAGTTTTATCCAGAAGGAGATCCTGTTTCAATATATCTTTGTCTTCTAGTTATAACCACTTTGTTCTACATTCCTCTCCCTTTTTGTTGACTTCTGTGTGCCTTTTCCCATGTTCAGTCTATCAACATTTTGTTCCACTCAGTTATGGTTAGTTATTGAAGGTGGCCTCCCCCTTAGTTGCACTTCATCAGAAGGTTTTTATTTTGTCTGCCTGCAGACCTCTGTTCCACCAACATGGACACAGTTGAATCAGTATTAGTATAAAAACCCTTGCCTGTTTTTGAGTAAAGGAGCAAGTGACAGATCAGCTTAAAAGATGAGGTCTTGCAGGTCACTTTCCCCACGTGTAGCAATCCCTAGTGATTTTCAGAACACTGATCCATAGTAGGTGTGACATTGAACATACACTTGCATTGAACTGCATATTTCAATCAGTGCAGGATGAAATCTGACATGCAGTAAGTAGTAAGCTACAAAAACATGTTTTTATTAAAAGTTTTAATTACAACAGTAAAAGATAATGCAAACTAAAGAAGAAAAAAGAGGTGAAAAAAAAAGAAAAAGAAAAAAAAACCTAAGAAAGCCCTTCCTACCCTCATCATGACAAGTATAAACCATTTCATAATCTCTTCACCTCCTCTCAATTAACAGATCTTCATCCCATAACTCATCTCTTAACTATAGGCAAATTCAATAAATAACATCTTCTCCAATCCAAGTGTCAGTAAAAAATCCAAACAGAGCCCTAAAATAATAGCATTAATGAATTTATATAAAACTTCACAATGTTTTTTCCATTCCAAATGCTGACAATTCCAAAGGAACCACCCCAAATAGCAACATATCCCATTCAAATAAGCATTCCATATCTCAGTTCTTAACTATAAACAAATCCACATTTAATCCCAGTATTCTAATACAAACAACAGACTAAAATTTAACATAACAAAGAGGGATGTAAAGAGACTGTTAAATACAGAGCAAGTTTAAATGCTGTCAAATTAGCATACATAAAGTAACTGTAGAGCAAAAAGCTTAAACATCATATTAAATGTAAGCAAATCCACAATACATATTTTCCAGTCCAGATATCAGCAAATCCAAAAAGAACCACCCAAAATAGCAACATGTTCCATTTTAGCTCTGGTCAAATGGACTTTGTGTTCCTTCTTTTTAGGCAAAACAAACTTGCTCTTTAATCCATTAAGATGATTGTTGATCCTTATTTCAAATTTCTTCAATACTTTGTACAGCCTCTTTTGTCAGTCCAGCAAAAAGAAATTGTTCCAATTGCTCTCTGGGGTTGTCATGTTTATTTCCTTCTTCATTTTTAAAGCCTCATCCAATTTTATCTTTATATCTGATGATAAATTCTTATTCAGATTCTTCTTCATGTTATTCTTGGGTAGATTTTCTGTAACATCTTCTTCTGGGAACAGACTATTCCCAAGAAAACACAACATAACTGACATAATTGATTCAAAGTCCCTGTGCAGTTCCCGGTGCAGTTCCTCAAAGATATCTCTGAATGCCATTATAAGTTACTTATCTTGTTATGTCTCCAATATAAAAAATAGATTTTCTTTCCCACAAAAATGCATTTATTCTTTAAGATTAATTTCAAAGTCTTAATATTCAAAATCCAATATTCCAATGTTTCCTGAGCCCTTAATCCATTTAAAACTTTCTATAGCCAAAAGCCTGTCTTGCTTTTTACTGTTTATTTTAAATGCTTAAAGATTATAAAGATACATCTTCCTTTTCTTATGTTAAGGATTGAAGGCACTCACCCAGTGTTTACAACCTGGCCACTTTGAAGGTACCTTACTTCTTTGAAGCAGTTAATAAGTAATTTCCAAAAGTGATTAGCAAGGGAAGTGCAAACTTAGCATCCTTTAAAAAGGCTCCATTTGCAGCTGGAGCAATTATGGCAAATTTCCTTGTCTCCTGATTCTCTCACCTTCCGGAGACTGCTCTCTTGCAGTCTCCTCACGCGGAGCAATTGTAAGGAGAACTGTTTGGGCAATCTTGTGTCCTCTCTTTGTCCAGAGAGAGTCAAAGGAGCTGATCTATCCATCAGCTCCCTGTTCATGGCCACAAA